TTTTTTTTTTTGTGTCGTTCAAATATCTTAGCATTCAGTTAACATGAACATGTACAACATACTCAAAAGATCTTTTGAATAGCCTCTGGTACTTGCACAGTACCAAATGTAAAACCCAGCTAACAGTCTTCATATAATATGATTCTATATCTCGTCCTATTTTAAATGAATTCAAGTACAGTATGGAATGAAGATTAATAGAGAATGTAATCAACAGTTTGAGTGCACCACCTGCCCTCAAAAAGAGATGTAAATTTGTAGCGTTGTAACAAAAGACTTTTCATAAAGTCAGCACCAGGGCAGCTTCCCTTCCTGTGAAACTGCTTTAATCAAAAGTATAGTTCTCTTGACATTCGAAGAGCTCAGAAAAATATTTGTGGTAATTATTTATCCCTCGCTTTTTTTTCCTTTTTTGTATTTTTTTTAACACAGTGAATTTTTAAGGTATAGCATCATAGCACCGACTGAACCGACTCACCCCCCAGGATCTCAGTACTTGTCCGCTTGGGAGGTGGTGCCTCTCATGAGAACCATCCACCAAAGTTATGAAGCATTTAGAAATGTACAAAGTCACCAAGATATCATATGCACCATATCCTCAGCACCCTTTTGTTGTTTCGGTAATTGTTTGTGTTGTGTGTGTGTGTGTGTGTGTGTGTGTGTGACTAATATATGGGCAAGTCTTAAGCTCAATAAGTAAAATGGGTCTTGTTACTGCACTATCAAACTACTGTTAGACATGGCGTGGGTCACCTAATTATCATGGCAAATGAAAGATCTGCAGTCTTCCGCGGTGGAGCTGTGATTTTTCTGCCACGTGCATACTTGGTTATTACAAAAGCTGAAGCGAATAATAATGATGACACATCTAAGCAAGCAGGGCGGTGGTAACACAACTGACAAAGACTGCTGGGCAGTAACTCATTAAAGCGTCGCCCAATGTTTCACCTCAGACTGGCTCCGTGGCAGTCAGTATAGTTATAGGGGGGGGTGTTTGATAGTAAATAATAGTTCATCATTGAAAAACTTCCCATTCTCTCTCCTGTTGACACTCAGAAGAAAAACTCTGTACTGTTCTAACGTCTGTATGATAAATATGAAGCCGCAGCTATCAGACAGCTGAGATCAGCATAAAGACCGGGCACACAGGAAGCAACATAGGTAACAAAATCTGCCCGCCAGCAGCTTTAAAGCTCACTCTGTTTTCTGTTTCTTTTTTGTTTTTTTTTTTTCTTTTCAGAGGACTTTGTACCAGACTGTTTCCAGGCTGGAAGCAGTGATTCTTTTTTATTTTTTATGAAATATCTGCTGGTGGTCTTGTTAGCCTGGGATGTAACCCCCTGTAAAACCAATGTGACAATGGTGTTGACAAACCTTACTTAACGTGTGTTAAAGAGGTTTAAAGTGCCGGCAGTTTGATTTTAGTTAGGCTAGCTGTTTCCCCATGTTTTCAGCCAATATGCTAAGCTAAGCTAATCAGCTGCTTAAGTCAAGCTAGTAAACTAGCCAAGAGGTAACTCTTATCACGCTCGTGGGAATGTGGGAATCACATTATTCAGATTTTGGCATTTGTTTGGGGTTTTTTTTTTAAATACGATGCTGTCATGAATCTGTCACAGAGTTTGAGAATGTCAACAAAATTGAAAATAACAACAACTGAAAGCTGTCAAGCTAAAACTCTAAATTCATACATTAGCACAACTGCAACACGGGGGATCTCTTATTTTCGCTTTACTGTTGCCAGTGAGTCAGCTGAGTGTGGTTTCATGTTACAGAATTGGGCTGACTAAATCGTTTTCAGAAATTTCTGGGGCTCTGTCAGTCGCATGCCGACAGGGGGTACAGTATTAGGAAAGCAAAAACAGCAGAGTGACTAAGCACAGATTTGCACACAACACATTGGGGCCAAGTGTTGTTTACTGATGTTCAGGGCTGTCAGAGACTTCAAAAATACCCCCATGTCATTCGTGGTTTTGTTACTTTCCTCACAAGTTAAATAATCTTACCTAAATAGTTTGATATTTACATTTTTTATCTCTCTCTTGAGGAAATTTTAAAAAAAAGAAGCTTCAAGTTGTCAATAATCGGCTCTTTCTGTGTCATTAAAATCAAGATTAAAAGTGCTTTTATAAATCTTTTCTTCTTTATGTACAATTTGTATTAGCTATATAAAAAATGATGAAAAAAAACAATAACATCAAAGACAATCATTATCATTATCACCATGTAGTAATAAATAAGAGTAAAAAAAAAAAAGAAGCAGGTTAAAATGAGTGTGGAGATCTAGAGCACACAAAGGGACATGCATGATTCTCTGCCCTCAGTAGCAAGTCGTGATTGTGACCAGTGTCTCTACAGCGTGAGGTAGAGAGCTGGAGAAAATCGGGAGAGGTAACAGGGTCTTTCACAGATGACCAGGGCCTTGGCCCAAACGACCGCCCAGCAGCTGGGAGTCGGCTTGCATCAGCAGTCTCTCATTTTCATTTCTGACACATGTTGCAGGTGAACCATGTGACCACAAAGGAAAATAAAAACGAGCGATTTACAGGACTCTCACCAGGCTATCAAATAGTCTCTCTCTTTGGCTCTTTTCAGACACACACGCACGCAAAGTGAGAGATTCATCGATCTGTTGCGCTCACGTTCGGCGCCAAACCCTGGAAGCTACAGAAATTTTCTACGGTTTCCCTTTTATCTCTCAGTACTATTTTCTCTGTGAAAAGCACTGCTAAATGGGTTACCAAGAAATGCAGTGAATGACTGTGCTTTCTCTGCCCTGTACAGTGTACTTTTCTTTTCGTTTGAGACAAAAATCACTACATGCCACAACAAACTGCAAAAAATAAAATAAAATAATAACTCCTCTAAAGGAAACCAGTTTTTGAGCCCAATGTGGAGCTGAACCACACGGTGGCCATTTTGATTGGCTGGCTCTGCGGTGACAAGGTGCCTGCAGAAGGACACGCCTCACTCTGCTCAAAGATGACAGCACCATGCAGAGAAAGGAGTGGGCCCTTCACAGTAAATCAAGTGTAATAGGAGAGCACCAGAGTGTGTGTGTGAGCACCAAAAGCACTGCTGTCCCAACACTGTTTCCTGCTGCTCTAACCCACGATGGGTTTCCGGTTCACATCTGTGGCACATTTTTAATGTCAGCTTTGCCTTCAGCTGTTTTATCAAGTCCAATCTATGGTCAGCGAGCAGGGTGGATAGCCCCCTCTAGTGGCCATGGATGGTTAAAGCAACAATGAGACAAGGCTGCCATCTAAATGAATCCCAAGTGCTTATAGGTTTGTTTGTACACACCACTTTGAAACAGCAGTCGACGCTGCCCTCTAGAGTTTACACTGGGAAGTGCTCACTCCTACTTGAATGTTATAGGAAGATAAAAGAGTGCCACCTGTGGGAATAGCAGATCTGGGTTAAATGGCTTACACAAGTAGTATCGCTTGTTTTGGCCTCTGTGGAGCACCGGGTGTGAGAACTTCAGTTCTCCGCACAGAGCACAGGAAAGCTTCTGTGAGATAACTCGTTAGGACCTTTCCCTAGCACGACACAAGTTCTGCACCTTTGTGTTAAAAGCAGTAAATCCCAGTGTTCTGGTATCCCACCAACACAAACTTTTTAGTTGCAAATACTACTTGAGCCAAATTTGAGTTAGAGCACCTAAATACAGCATCGAGTGCCATGAAGAGTAGCGGAATGGAAATCGATCAGAGCAGGAAGCTGAGCACCAGTCAGAAGCTAGAAGGGAGAGTAGGAGGAGCGCATCATCTCATCATCACGACAAGGCAAGCTGCAAAGGTTTCTCGCAGTAATGGTTAAGAGTTATTCTGAGCCCGGGGACCATTTTCTTCCTTCAGCATGACACTTGAAACCAATCGCTGCGCTTTTTCTAGGTGCCTGGAGCAAAAGGGCTTTGGTGATTTCCCTCCTTACTCTTATCTTTTGTAATATTTGTGTAGATGGTTGTTTGCTATAATGAAAAAACATACTGTCAGTGGCGTATTTGACAGTGGTGATGCTGGTACTGATTCATTAAAAATCAAAGCTTTTGATCAGGATCTTCATAATGGTGATTATTGTGATTATTCTTTAAAAAGGCCCAGAAATGGCTTTATAAACTAAAAGAAATGATTGTGGTGACTATATTGTTGATTTTTCTGCCGTATCAGGGAGATAATGGCTCCTCCTTAATCTAAGTACAGCTTTAAGATTGATAAGAACAAAGTCAAGTGGGGGGGAAGGGTGCATGTTTTCCAAACATGGAAAAAGCAAGTGTCCAAGTCTGTCAAACTCAGACTGATTGATTTAACAAAAATATAAAAACAAAACAAAACAGGTCACCTTATTAATAATAACATTAATGAAAAGAGCAATAATTAAAAAAAAACAAGTCTTCATCATAATAATACCTGTAATAACAACATTGACAGTAACAATCATAATAATATTGATAATAATAGCAATAATTAGAATCATTAAAATTCTATAAACAAGAAAAAGCAATGGAGTTCCTCTCCGGGGAAAAGAGAGGAAGAGCACCACAGGCAGTGTGTCTGAAGCCCAAACCACTGCCTGACATGAGGTAAAAAACAATAAAAATGTCCCCCTCCTCCAAGTGGACTGTAGAGGGAGGCAGGATGGAGGGATGCCAGACTGCGGGACGGCTGAGAGACATTGATTCTGCTCAGTGCTCTCTCTCCAGCCCTCCACTGCACCACTCTGTAGCTATCAGTCACTCTGTGTCTATGTGTCCTCACACAAAGTGGCTGTAGGGCCCCGTGACGACGGTGGAGGCATAGGGAGACACAGTAACCGTAGAGGTGGTGTAGAACGAGGGGGATAACCGCGTCACCGGCCCCTCCTTCTTGTCTTTAGATTGTCCAGGTCCTGGACTAGCGCCTGCCGCCGTAGCGCCCCACTTGCGTTTCTTCCCGAGTGTCTTGATATCCTCCTGGGAGAGGCCAAGGAGAGCTGCTTCCTGCTGCCTCTGCAGTGCTCGCTCTGCCAGCAGCTTCATTTTGGCCTCCCAAAGAGCCAGGCCATGCATGGGCTGGTTGAGGTTCTTGTGCTGGTAGAAGACCAGGGAGATGCGGGAGGGGTGGGAGCGGTCAGGCTTTTTGAGTGGAGTGGTAGCATGTAGTTCCCGACGAGCACATTCGATTAGGATGGAGCCGTGGGCTGGTGCCACTGCTACCCCGCCTATGTAAGGGTCCAGGAAGTTGTGCTCACTATCAGACCAGACCTCATCCCCGTCCTCTTCGCAATTCTTGGTGCTCTCGACGTCGCTCTCTGCTCGGCTGGGCGTGTAGCAGGCCTGATCTGATTGCTGCAGGGCATCGGGGAAGAGGCGACCCTCTGGAGCAGGGGAAGGGGTGTTACTTGCCACAGAACCTCCAAAAGACTTCCAGGCCTTTTCCTGGGGCCCAACCGGAGTGGAACACCGACTTTCTCCAGTCTTGGACCAGATCTTGTCGGGATAGGCCCCTGCAGGATTGCTGTGCTTCATACCAGGGCTATAAGGCCCCATGCCCCATGTTTGCGGCTGTGGGCTAGCAACGGGGCTCGCCCAGTGCCTGGGGGTGCCTGGATGTGGGGTACTTGGCCGTGGTGTAAGTGGGCCTGCGTGAGAGACACCGGGCTGTGGGGTTACTGGGTGAGGGGTGCTTGGGCGTGGAGTGCCAGGGCGTGGGGAAGATTGATGTATGTTACCTTGGACCACTGTGCCTAGCTGAGGGGATGGACATGGAGAGGGAGGTACCTGGAGTGACGGTGATGGGGCAGGGGAAGCCCTCATAGTGTTTAAGCCAAGGAAGGATGACCACTGCTGCGGGTAAGGAGAGGCCTGCCGCTGCTGGAGATGCTGGTGAAACTGCTGCTGTTTCTCCGATGAGGCCTCGGAACTTTGTTTATGCTTCTGATGGGCATCCCAAGTGGTGGGAATAAAACTTCCATTAAGCTTGTGCCCAGGCCAGGTCACAGGTTGCGAGGGGCTTCTTGATGTGTTGGCTCCAACCTGGTTCGGAAGCGTGCCTTCGTAGACTGGCACATCCATAGGCTCCTGTTTGATGACCGGCGTGCCTCTGTTGGAGGACTCAGAGGAGGCAGAGGAAGGACGGGATTGGCTATAAACTGGGGCCTGGGTGTAAGTCGTGTGATTTGGTTGGTTGGTTTGCTCTGCTTGGCTGGAGCAGGAAAGAGCCACCCTGGACTGAAAGTTTTGAATGTCAGGCTTCTGATCTACCTGGACAGCTTTACAGCCAGCTCTGGGCGAAGAGCCATTTCGACCCTCATAGGTCCTCAGTACAGGGGGGAAAAGTGTATTGGGTGAGCACCTGTAGTAGGCATAATCCATTGGGGGCAAACTGGTGTGGAAACCATTTACTGTATCAGGTGCAGAGGGCTGGCCAGTTGTGGGGAGGCCTCCCCTTGCATAGAAGACGGGGTTTGTATACATGGGATTTACTGGGTCTACTGCTTGCACAGAATATCCATCTATCGATCCGTTTAAGGGTTCCTTTTTGATGTTGGGCTTCACCTCTTGTTTTATAATTGCTGTTTGTTTGACACAAAAGAAAAGTAAGGAAAATGGGTTACAAACAAGTCAAAATCTTAAAGTATTTCAGCTTTTACAATCTGGTGATAACAGGTAAACACAAAGGACATTTTAAGTTACTTAGATCTAAAACAGAAACTAACCTTTATTGCCTTGGGGTTGAGGGAAACTGCTAATGCAGACCTCGGCTTTGATCCCCGTCTTCTCCGGCGTCTCTCCTGCTTGCTGGATGAGTTTATTTTTCTTCTTCTCTGAGGCAGCCTTCTTTGCCTCTAGTCGGCGCTGTCGGCATGACTTGGCAGGTTCGGGCAACTTGCGCACCTCACGGCGGAAAGCGTTAAGCACCTGGATAGCTCCTGTCTCCATCTTGCGGTTCTGGGCCTCCTCGCTGCCAAACTCATCTGTCGGGGATAACGTGTAAAGAGGCAACACGTGGAGCTGCTCGTCCTCTGGGACTTCTCCCACTGTTCGGTTGTCCTCCTTTGTCAAAGTACACACCTGGCAGAGCGTGGCACAGAGTGTGTGATAAAACAGCCGCACTTTTTATGTAGCATTTTCAGCTCATTAACAATGTAGCCATTATTCAGTGCAAAAAAGAGAAAGGTTTAATGATCTTACCACTGTGCATCCATTGTACAGGTTGTGCTGGTCCTTATGAGCGTGAGCACAAAAGTCCATGCAAGCAGTGATTCCAGAGAATGGACGGCCTTCCTTCAAGCCCAGCCTGCATTCAGGAGCTTTGGACTCTGTCTGGCACTGAAGTAAAGGACAGAGATAGCATTAAACCAGCTATAGGAAGGGACTCATTTCTGCATTCTTAAAATACACAGAAACACAACACTTAAGATTGCTTCCTTTCTCAAAGCCAAGTCCTCACAGGTGTACTAAATCATAAGGTTTAATGCGTGCGAGTTGGTTTTGCGTCTTTAGAAACATCTCCTGCTGAGATCTTCTTTCCTATGTTGGTTTGCTAATAGACATGTGCCTGTACAACACACCTGGTTACTGTAGGCTTGTGGTGCTAGTTGCTTGTACACAGGAGCCACCTCAGTTGCCAGATGCTGGAAGTTATCCCTGAGTTTTTCCTCCTGATGATGAAAACATGAATCACAGGTCAGACAAAACTATAAAGTGGTATCTTAAAATTTACAGATACTATTCTGAAAAGAACAAGAAGAGAAAAGAATTTTAAAATAAAAAAAATAATATTAATCTTCTCATTTGCATACATATGTACTCATACAATGCTTGTAAAAAGGCAGCTTTCGCGTGATGAGTACCTCTTCAGGGTGTTCTCCCTGTAACCTGAACTTTCGCGGCATTTTGCTTCGTGCGTACTTGCAGCCGTTAAAGTACATACTCCATGAGCAACCAAAAGAGAAGGAAGCACCACAAGTTTCAGGATCCTTGCCTTGACAGGCACAAGTACGGCTGTAGGGGGAGACAGAGAGCACACTGAGCTTCATTCATAGAAGACGTGCAGTCTGGCATGTTTTACTACCTCGTGTGCACCACTGTAATTGAGAGTGTTAGCGAGACAGTTGGTTTCATTTGAAGCAATCAATGTTGAATGGTGTTACAGCAGATCATCTTAGACTTAAGCCACACATTTTAATAATGTCCGGTTTTATTAAAATTGCTTTATATGTCAAAGTTACTGTATGTTACACACATATTGGAGGGAAACACAAAGGCAGCTTCAGTGCCTACACAGAAGATAGAAGCAAGACTTATTTCTCCATCCCAGATGGTGAGTGGTTCACATATCTAAGCCACCAGACACGGGGGTGTGTTAACATTTACTCATGGTTAGCTGAAGGGCTGGGTACTAGGTGAACAGTGTAACAGAGAACAAAATGTACACATTTCATTTTTGTCGTAATTCTTGTCTTAAAATTCACTTTTATGTCATGAATATGAACTTTGGACAAATTTGATCCGGTCAGGATATTTTCCACACTTCTCCACTGCTTCTGACTTATTCCCACTACTGGAAATATAAATACAACAATAGTGTTGTTAAAGTGAGGAAGCATTCTGAACATGCAAAGAGGCTGGACACATGACTGACTAGCAGTGAATGTGATGAACAATAACCTGTGCTTTCACACATGGGTGAAACACCACTCTGCCTTTGTACTAGAGAGTCGGCAGGTTTAAGACAGGCTAATGTCTAACCGGACTGAGTCAGACATTACTGTTGTCACACGCACTTCTGTCTAAGGATGTTTATAAATGTTCAGGACAACCATGTGTGGCATGTGTGAAAAAGATACCCAGAGTTTAAACACCATCTGCTTCAAAAATCAATATATTCAAAAGTCCATCCATTTGCTGACAGACATCCAGAATGAAAAACTAGCCATCCCCTACTCACTCCTCATTGAGGCCACAGCGTCGGCTGGTGGGGTTGCCATGTTTGGTGAGCGTGTCTGTGACCTCTCTGTACAGTTGGTCAGCCAGGGCCCTCGGTACACCTTCCCAGGCTATAATGACGACGATGATGACAGCATTGTCACAGCGATGGCCTGCACGTTGCCTCACCAGACACAGCAGCTTCTCTTTCTCGTTGCCTCTACGGATCACCTGACAGGAAACAAAGCTTGTGAGCTTTTACTCGCACACAAAAATCCAATGCTAATAAAGCCAAATACAATTTCAGTCAGTTGATAGGATGTTCCAAGAGCTCCTTGTAGTTCCTGCATTTGGCCAGCAGATGTCCAGCACACCCATACATTTTGATATAGTGACAAACCAGACATAGTTGAGGGTTACATTTTATTTAAGAAGGATATTTACTCCTTGAACTAAAGTCTGACCCACTTCTGTGACTGAATACCAGTTCTTTAAGTCAGCTCCCCTAGCTTCCTAATCTTTCTGTCTTAAAACACACCCAAACAGTCACCCTCCCTCAGCAGGGTGGTTGTTTTGAATCCATAAAGTCATTAGCAGGATGTGTCAGGGGTGACACAGGAGAGGAGGCCAGGCAGTTGTCACAGAGTGAGACCTCCTACTGATTTGCTCACTGTGGATGGCAACTCGCCTGTGTGTCTCCCCAGGACCCCTCACTATACAAACATGCACACACACTCACACGTCACATAAATTGCTTGTTGACAGGCTGTCAGTGTTGGCAGGTGGGATAAACACTGAAAAAAACTCCCACTCTCACTTTTTTATCTTTCACTTGAACTGACACAAATGTTAGCACCCGGTCAGCCTCTCTTTACTCTTAGGGCCTTGGTTGGTCAAAGCCCATTGGTCGCTTTGTGCACTCCTGGAGATACCATCGGAAAGCGTCACAGGTACCTGCTGCAGTATTCTCCTGAACAATAGGCGTCGCTCCACATCAGCGCTGATACAGGAGAAGACGAAGGCAAAACTGGAAGCAAAGCCTCATCTTTTCAAACTGCTGCAGCATATCCCACGGTATAATCTATGTACCGCTGAGCTTCTGTATTCATCATTAAAACAAAGGTAAAAATGACACGATTGTACATGCGTGTCTTCAACCTGATTGCAGCTGTAGCACCATGTAACAAGAGGTGCACAACAGCAGCTAGGGCGTCAACTCTTTTTGACTGGTGCTGTTCACCACATACCAGTCGGAGGGTATAACAGGCTCTTTAGTGGAACATTCATTTATAAAATGAACATAATTTTTACTGATGCATGAATCAAACGAGCAGTAAACTTCTTATAGACTTCAGCTCAAGATATTACTCCCCTGGCTGTTAGAAAGGCACTTAGCACTGGTTTCACTTTTCAGACCCAAAAGCTAAGACATGTCCCTCCTTTATATACAGTGTAGGGACATGTCTCTCAACACTATTGCTCACTGTCTGTTGTAGGCATGTGTGTTGGACGTTATCCAGCATCTTTCAAAAACGCATTTTGGATGTGCTGTGATGCTACTTACCCACTTAGCAATAGGACATCCGTGGGAACTCTTTCCCTCTTTGCCTGTGTAAACCACCTTCTCAATCCGGATGGCTTCCCCCTTCTCTCCAAACCTGCATACAGAGAGAAGCAATTCACTGTTTTACTGCATGTCTGACTTTAGTGTTGTGACACAAAAACCTGACACTCTCAATGTCCTACATATAAAAACACACTGCAGTCATTTCTATGTTTTCTCTCCGTAGAGAAACCAAACCAACCACAAGGAACTGGGGCATTTAAATACTGAACCTTCATGTTTTGCTGCAGGGGACTTGTTATGCTCATTTCCAGCTCCATGTAACTAGAAAAGTTACATGAAGCTTTGCACATTTCAAAATGTTCCTTGTTTATCTCAAGTCAGACTTGATGAATACCCCTAAATTCATTCACTTTGTAGAACAAAGTGTTCAGCTTCCTTTAAGCCAGCTTTATTCTGAATAGCTACCGTCTCACAAACAGAAGGCCTAAATCTCAGGTAGGTGTGGCGTTCATGCAGCCAGTTCTCTGTACCTGTGAGATGGTTATATTCAGGATATCCACTCTCACTGACATCACACAGATCCAAAAGTAGAAAAATGGTGTGAAAAGGAGCATTCACAGAAGCGTGAAAGCCTGAACCTTCAAAAAGAAACTGCATATTCTGACCTTATTCTTTGAATTTTACAGAACTGACTGTAACAGCAACCAAGGAAGGTCACCTTTAAGAGCTATACTCAAACCCTCCAAAAGACTACACACATGTAGTTAGGTGCAGGTACAGTTTCTAAAGGTACTGTGTTTCAAAAAATGTTGTAAAACTGGGAAAACTTTCCAGTTTGTCCATGTGTTCAAAAACCATGGAAAAGTGTGACATTACTGATTAAGAGAGCAGAAAAATATGCTGGCCAAATGCTATTGGTACCAAAACACAATAACTATGGACAATGAACGGCTACTCAGTAGCAGTTCCAGCAGCACCTGATCAGTAACAGGAGATTTCAGATTTCCACTGAGGGATATTAATCAAAGGTTTCTTATTGCCACAAGTGACCTCATCAGCAGTGGTTCTTAGTCTTTATTCCAAATGTTCGTTTTGCCTTTCTCATTTTTCTCCACCTCTAAGTAGTCTGAGGGAGTAGCATTATATGTCAATCCTGACAAAAACAAGTCAACTTGATTAGGAGTGCATGTTCACAGTCCTCTGCTGAGATTCACACAAGTATGGCAGAGTAAATCTGATCCCTTAGCTTCCAAAACAACTCGGGCCAAAAGGACTTCTCTTGGACATATTTCTGTGCTGATAGTAGCTTGAATGCATTAGCAATTGTACACAAACATTTCTGTTTGTTTTTGTGTCCTAATGGTGCGTGGTGTGTATTTCTGCAGGTCTGTTTGTAGTTGCACAGGAGGAGAGGGGGGTCAGAGGTTGCACCGGGGCGCGGGTATGTCACTGGGCCTTGTCAGATGTTTGTTCACAGATCATATCAGGTCTCCTGTCAGCCAGATACCTGCCATTGTGAAAACCTCAGCCTTGAGCAGATTTGGCATGGCAGTGAATACGCCGTGCACCTCCTGAATAGGAATCACCCTGAGGTGGCTGAGAAAGTGGGAGGGGATTAGACTCTGTCACCACAGGGGTGGCTGGCTAGGGTGAGGGGTAGGTCAAAGGTCAGCCAGGGACTATAGGGGCTTAACATCTTGCGTCATCTCTCAAATAGCAAAAAGTGGACTCTGGTTGAACACTCCCTCCCCTCACTTACTCAAGCTGCACTCTCTGGGAGCTAATGACTCATTGGCCTTACAGAAATCCAGCCTCTCAATGAATAGCAACTACTACAGCATTCAGCATTGTGAAAATGAAGCTTAACACAAGTGAAAGATCTGGTAAAAAAAAAAAAAAGGTTAAAGTGTGTTTACATTCTGCAGAGAAAGGTATTCGTTAATTCAACCTTGAAAAGAGTTGTTTCGTGGCATGCTTCTGCAAGATAACCCAACAGCAATTTCATTACTGAGGCTGCAGCTGCAGTTTGCTTATTAAGGGTTCTATACATGAGATTACAGGAGCAAGCAATTATTTGTGGTGTAAAGATCAAGTGGAGTAATGGTGTTTCTATCAGAAAAGGAAGTCACACTTCCTCCGTGTGTTGCAATTTGAGCTTCTCTTTTCAGTGGTTAGGTAGCCGGTCTGGCTGCACATGATTCCCCCTCCCTCTAATGGGCTCATTATGCGCGTCCACCCAGCCTCTTGCGAATGGTACCGAAGACAAAAAGCGCCATCAAGTCCTCTGGCACAAGCTGCACTTTAGTGTCATTTTGGTTTCAGCTGGTCAAGCACTCGTCAGCTTTTGCAATATTCCCCAAGTTGAAGACACGAGTGCACGATCATGTTCGTTTTGACCTCCAATTCACTGATCTATCAGTACAGGAGAGTTACAGAGATTATACAGTCTGACGCTTTCTGGAAAAACTTTACATTTGCTTCCAGTTTTCACTTCTTCTACCCATACACCTGACGTAGAGGTTTAGTATGGGTGTCGCTATCGCTCAGGAGAACACTGTAGCGAGTACTCGCACCCTCAGTACTGGTATAAATGGTATGTGTGGATACTTTGCTGTTTGTGTGCAATACTGCCAATACGTGGAGCATAATGGGCCCATAAAGGTGTTCTACCTTCCCATCCTCCCTGCATTTATAAAGGGAATAAGAGTATTTAAAATTACGTTACTTTGCTCTCTAAAATGCCCTTTAAAAATAAAAGCATTTAGAAAAAAAGATCTTTAATAATGTTATTTACCTAATTTATATGCACATCTACACATCTACAATCTATTTATATAGATGCACATGTGACAACACATTTTTTTATCTTTAATTTGTGACATTTCTTGTGAAATTTTAAGTTTCACACAAACCAAACTCATTTTTACATCTACATTATTCATAAATAAGGTTACCCATCTCTCTGTCTCCCCTCACTGCTTCAATGTTCATTTTTTCCTCCATATTTTATTGTATTTTGTCATTAGTTGTTCTTCCTTCTGTGTTCTTCCCATTATCAGCTGTCATCTGCTGCTAATTCTGTGCTTTTTGCTCTGCCTGTGATATGCTGATGATGCTGATATTTCCTGTTCCTCCTACTAGATTCTAGGTCACAGATTCCCTAAGGACAAAATGTGAGGAGGAGGAGGACTCATGAGAAGAGAAGAGAAGAGAAGAGAAGAGAAGAGAAGAGAAGAGAAGAGAAGAGAAGAGAAGAGAAGAGAATATACCTTGTCTCCATCAGGGTTCGTATGGAGGCCACAGTAGGTCCAGATCCCAAGTGATTGTAGTAGGGCCCTTCATCTTTTTCAATTTTGTGCTCTGAGGGGGGGAGAGTACAGAGTAAGAACACAACATTTTATCTGAAAAACGAATACAAACTGTAGCAGCAATTGACAATAAACACTGGATTTTTACAGTGTATCAGTGATTCCACTACAGCATGAATTCAACACAGAATCAGAACAAGATTGGGTAATATAGTCACTGCTGTTCAAATCTATAGCTTTGGTGGTAATGTCCCCTAACACCAGCCTATTTAAAACAGTTTCTCTTTTGAATTTGAATCTTTGGTTTTAAAAAAATTTTTGCCTTTCACATTGACCAAAAAGTTTACATCTAAGCCCCAATTCCTAACGAACAAACTCTTGGATCTGAGTGTCACTTAAATTGCACACAAAGAAGACTTGAAAAGTACAGCTTGGCTTTGCATGTTCTCACATGTTGTAGTGTTTTGTAAAAGGACAAAGGTACAGCGGATGTGCTTTGATGTATTTCTGGCCAAACTCAAAGATATTTTCTTTGTAGGTAAAGCCAGATCTTCTATGAGAAGCATGTGAAAGTAGAGCTCATTGCAACATCCAGTTCAAACACACGTTCACACACATGAACGCACACACACAGGGAGTGGTGTGGGGAGCAAAACATGGTGAAGCAGAAGCTTTTTGAGGTAGTGTGTGACTCAGTATGTAGGGATGTTTAGAGGGAGTGTTAGTGTGTGTGTTTTGTGTACATCTGAGGTGATGTTGTGCATGAGTATGTGTGAGCATTTGACCATTCCCCTGCACAAAACCTATGGTTTTAAACCACACCCTATGACTTCAGTGTTACATTTTCTATGAGATACTGTGCAGATTAATGGTATGATGGCCTCGAGGAATTTCGCATTGCCCAGCTGTATCAGCTAACTGTGTGTTGTTAAACTAACATTGTGTTGTTCTTGCTCTTGTATCATTTCTAAAGTACAACTGCGGATGCCAACATTACCAAAAATGCCCTTAATGCGCTCCACACTATCAGATGATTAAAATGCGGTCTTCCACTCTGTGTGTGTGTTGTGTTTGTATGTGTGTGGGGTTGTGTCCAGAGGCAACATGAGGTCACATTCTGCTGCTGGTGAAAGGAGGCTCCAGGGCGTGGTTCATGGCAGGAAATGGAGTAGTCATAGTCCATTTATGTGCAAAGAAAAAAAATATGTGTGTATATGTATATACTGTATCCTGTCTGTGTTAAAAACAACAAATTCCTATGCAGTGTTATGCTATACTGCTTAGAAAAGGAAATGTGTAACATAATTATGAAGGCTTGTTGTTTGTTGGTCTTTACCCCTAGTAACACCACATGGTTAGCAAGTGTGTGTCATTGACACTGCTCTTCCCACTGCTGTGCACTCCTTTTAGTGCTCAGATGCAACACAATTTTATGGACCAGGCCTTAATCCATCCCAAATCCACACCCAGCAAACTGTCAGTTTACCCGTTTTCTCCACGTCTAGTCTTGGTTGTAAAACAACTCGTACGACCAGCCAACCTGACCCCTGGATACACTTCTGTGACTGCTTTCTGAGTCAGTCACACAACAGGCTTAAAAGGCTGTGCAATGCATGCAATACAATGTACATGCAATACAAAAGATTCCATAAATTACACATGCATATGCGTAAATAACATAAACATATTTATATTTGTTTGAAAAATGGGAGTCCTAAAACTAGTCTGTGTACATCGAGTGGCTGTTGTGTGGCTGTTAGATCACAATCGATTTTTAATCAAACTTGTCAATCAAATGTTGCAGTAAAAAAAGCTTTCTGTATTATACTTATATCACAAAAAGGATTTTTTGCCTTGTCAGAGAGACTGACTGGAAATGCTGTTGTAGGTGGACACAGTGACAACATCTATCTGTTTATGGTATAGTTTTGCCATCATACAGTGACAAGTGTTGACTGGGAGATAAAATCAATGTGGGCAACTGGTACACAGTAACTCCAAGAAACAGGTTGTCATTTCTTAGTAGCCTGCCTGAGAACACAGTCTCTCGTTATTTGGTTTGTGTGTCGAGTTAATAAACTATTATCCACATTAGCTAACGCAGCAATATTCAGATTTACTGAGTCATTAATTAATGACTTACTGAGACACTATGCATTAGAATAATGTGAGTGTAGTCTAACAAATTAAATCTCCAGCATATAATGTCTTTAAATGAAACATTTCAACTGTAAGACCACCTACTTGGTTGTAAATAAATAGGCTTCCCTAAACAGGGTGCTACCCAAACTATGGGACTGAACTCCATTCTGTCTAACAAAGGCTCTGTTCTGCTTGCTTGCAAGACCCAAACCCACACAAAAGAGTCCTTCTGCCACCACTGCTATTGTTCCTGCATGTTGCCTTTATTGGCCCTCACTGTCACAGTCTAGATGGTCACTACCACGCACCCTGGCAACTTGCACATTCTTTCTTAGCTGCAACCAACCAGAAAACCAGAAAGAACTGGGGTGGGAATGGGGTGAAAAAAATCTAAAAGTCAATCTGTTTACATCAATAAGCAAAGTGAAATGCTTACAATGGCCACATAATAGGCTGATTATTTTAGTGGAGGAATAAAACATTTCCAAGGATAACGAAATGTGCTCAAATTGACAAAGACTCAAATTGATCTCTAGTCAGAGATTAATAAGTAATGTTTTCAGAAGACTGATTATTGTTAGACTATTTCTAATTTGTGTCTGAAATGCACTTTGTGGATGGAAAGTAAGCTGTGTGACCATAAGCAGAGGCTGAGACTGATGCAAAAACTTACCCACGCAGGTGCAGGTGGGAAACTCTGCCTGAAGATCCTTGGAAGGAGTACTTAGCAAGCTCTTAGTGGGTGTGTCAAGATAGCGTAAAGGAGAGTCCAAGAAGCCTTTGAGAGATGGTGAAGAGGGCACACCTTCCTTAGTTGGTGTGTCCTCCTCAGAAAAGCAGGTGGTGGACAATACTGTTATATCACCCGAGGATTCAATTTTCATTCGTTTTGACAGCGGAGAAGCTGGCATGCTAAAAGTATCCTGCACCACTCTGGACTGCTGCTGCCTCTCCACTATATCTTCCTGTTTCAGAGGAACTTGAACAGACTCCCTGTGCTGCATCTCCATAGGCCGTTCTGTAGATGCCTGGCTCAAGGATGCCTCACTTTGGGTCCTGGACTCATCTTTGCTCATTCCCATCTGATGATCTCGATGAGGTGTGGGGGTGGGTTGACTTGTGGAAATTAAGGGAAGTGGCTGGGAGGTGGATGATGATGCAGGACTGAGGTCCTGAGGACTACTCAGGGATTCATTCCCTGACTTTGGGGCTGTAGCAGTCTCCTCCACGGGCTGACTGGCAGATACATCTGGAACTGAGTCCCCAAATTCAGCCTCAAACTGGCGGATCAACTCTTCGTACTTCGGGTCCAAGTTAAAGACGCTTGGTACATTTGAGGTGCTGGGTGAGGATGTGGAGGTCATAGGTGTCATGGTGCTGGTATTACTGGAGGCCAGGCTGCCCATCTCTTCTGACTTATTGTGAGCTGCAAGGCCCACAGGTGGGAGTAGAGGGCCCAGCTGGGCTGGAGTGTTTTCTGATGGAACAGAAACAGTGGAAGTGGGTGTCATTGAGGAATTGAAAATGGATACCTGAGATTGGGCTGGGGCAGGGAGGCCTGCAGCAGCAGCAGCCTGAGTGAAGTTACTGTGGAGGGGCAGTTGGTCAAGTGGACCTAGTTGCAGTTTGGCCAGGGGTGCGGATCTGTCCATCATGTGGACTGGTGGTTTCTGTGTGGTGATCTGAGTCTGAGGCAGAAAGGTTGGCATGGAGGCTTTCTGTTTGGGCTTCTTGATGATTATCTGTTTGGGTTTGGGAAGGGGAGGACCCAAAAACGTCTCAGTCATAGCTTTAAGACCAGGAGATCCTTGGCTGATTTTTTTCCTCTTGGGTTCCTGTTTGATGGCCAGATGTGACAGGGCCTCTGCATCCATCTGTGGCCACCATTTTTTCAAATTTTGGCAAGCCAGAGGCCCACGTGGGCCAACGCCTCCAAAGCCAGAGGGGTGGTTTGAGAAAAGATTCCTCTTGTAGTGAAGGTGCTGTTGTAGAGCTGCCTGAGTGGAGTGGCTAATGGCTGCTTGGCCAGGAGAGAGGGGAGTGCCAGGGTAGTGCTGACCCTGGTGCTGACCATTAGCCATACCATAATGTCCCATGGAGGCAGGGTGATGATAGTGGTCAGCAGAGTCTGACTCTTGTTTTATCCTGACCAATGCCGGGTTATCCTGGGCCTGGACAGTCCCATTCTGGTTCAAGCTAAGTTGTTGCGAAGCTGGAAGCTTAAAAGGAATTTTGCTAAACTTGCTACTGGTGTCACCAAGCAGCTGTTTGAGCTCTGACATGGGGTCTGAGCTACTATGAGGTGCAGTGGCAAGGTGAGACTGAGGCTCAGACTTCACACACATCCATGGATTTCTGTGTTCAGATCCTGTGCCTGAGGCTTGCTGCCACTGCAGGGGATTCGGGTTGAAGCCTGGTGGTTTTCCCTGACACGGGAAGGGAGAGGTAGAGGACTGGACAGGGGTAACATGGGGCGGATGGCCCTGGGATTGGGGTCTGTGGCGCTCACATGACTCTAGGGCCTGCTGGCTAGTTTGTAGTCCTGGAGGGACAGACTGAGAGCGTGAAGAAGATGAGTAGGTGCCAGAAGAGGATGGGATCATGCCAATGCCATTAAGAGGCTGAGATGCAGTGTTTTGGTTGTGTTGATGGTGATGGAGGTTATTTGTGTAGGGGGTTTGACCTGGGGAAGAGGCAGTTTGTGGGCTAGTACCAGATAACTGTGTCAGAGCATCTATGGCGATGGCTGTCTGAAGACTGATGTTCTTCTCCTTGGCTATGGAGAGCACCTGTGGCGAGCAAGGAATCGGTGGTTTGGAGCAGGGCACTTGATCTGGGTGAGGGCCTTGGCTTTCCTGTTGCTGCTGGGAGCATGAAATAGACAGATGGTGGCCACCATTTACTTGTTGGTAGGTCTGAGAGTGATGCAGCAAATGGGGTTGCTCTATGTGAGGTTGTAAATGTAAGGGAGTATCAACCAGTTTGTGGGAGCCTTGATCCTCATTGGTTGCTAATTTTATCTTCTTTTCCAGCCATTCAAGGTAGTCTGGACAGTCAGGCCCATCACAGTCGCAATTGGGAGGCTTGCGTCCATGTTTTGCTTGGCTCAGTGCTTTCTGTAAGGTCTCCAGGTCTTCTGAAGGTGGGCAGCTACCCTCAGGAGCCCCTGCAGAGATTCTAGCTTGAGCCTTCCCAGCGCCTGTTTCCTGGGTAAACTTCTCATACAAATAGGCTGTAGTAGCCTGCAAGAGGTGGCAGGAAGAGGAGGAAGAATGAGGCAGTGAGCCAGCAATAGCAGAAAAAGCCACCAGATTGTGAGCATCCTCCATGTCTGCATGGTGTACAGGTTCAGCAGGGGTTGCACCACACGTTTGCTGTTGTTGGGTGTCGCTGACCTTGCCATGTCCAGGCACCCAGCACTGCCTTGGCAGCACGCTTTCTGCACACTGCTGCTCTGTTTCTATAGATGGCTCACCATCATTAGGGTACTGATTCACCCCATTGGCCAGTTCCAGGCTCAGCGCGCCTTCCTGGAGGCGGTCATGTGACCCAATTTCCATCTGGCCTCCACTTCTGGGGCCATCCACTGAAGTAACTTTGTGAACAGTCTAAAAGACAAACACAGAGCACAGGTAATGAGGATGTGAAAAACAATGGATTCAGATGCACATCGTACACATTAGGTATGGCTTTAAAATAGTAATTGTGCTAAACTAGATTATGCTATACTAAATGTACTCATGGCATTCAGTAGTTACTATTACAGCATTCCTTGGATGAGTATCAACCCAGTAATCCAGGACTCCATTCCCTTCTTTCCAGCTCTTATCCAGAGTTTGCCACCCACCTCTCACACATGCATAGCATAAAGTTTCTCCGGGTCACACCAGTAAGGCTGGTGTAAACTCTTCTCATATTCAGTGGGCTTATTTTACAACTGGTAAGTCACAGGTCACGTGACAAAATTCCACAGTTGTTTATAAATGGACGTTCTACTTGAGATCCGCTGGGCTATACAAAGCAGGCAGTGGTGTTAGGAGACATTGTGAGCCAGATGTGGGAAGCACAGAGAAAAGAAAATGCAGTACAAATCCACATCCTTGGACTCTGTTTTCATAATTTATTACTGGAAATATTAAAAAAAACAAAACACTGAGGACTTATCAGCATTTTACTCTTATCTCAAGAAACCAATAAGGGAAACAAGTCAAATGCTTAATGTAGCTTTTCAGAAACACAATTACTTGATTAGAACGTGTAAATGTTTATAATTTATAAATGTAAATTATAAAATAATAAATCAAATCGGATAGTGAAGAAGTGGATTCATTATGGCCTGTGCCATTTTACCAAAGTGTATAGAATCAAGAAATGTCTTCAGTTCTTTTATATACTAAGTGTCTGGATGTGAGCAGCACAGCTCTGTTTACTGGGTTTGTAGACTCATTTTTTTACAAGACCAAAATTCATTTCCTCTGAAACAAGACCTTAAATGGTAAACCCAAATTGGCCTGAATATCTAAAGATAATCTCCTGTCTAACAGCTACTCATCAGTAGATATAAATCAAGCTGAGCAAAGATCAAACTGCTATGGATGTTGAAAGTACAGTCATGAGATTTATCTGAGAGAACTGCTGACCAAGTGTGGATTTACAAAATACTGGTGTCCTTTGTTCAAGAGTGAAGGGACATTTTAACACAGCCTCATGATTGAACAATGCAGTTATTTTGTCATGACACCAACACAGAGGGTTTTAACCCCTGTATGTATGCACTGGTGTTTAGTTTGAATACATACTGGATATAACCCCCCAGCAGATTATGTATCATATGATTAATGCTTATTTAAAGACCCATTCTATTTTTAGGAAGTTGGGGAAGGTCAAATAGTGAAAGCAGAAGCAAACTGAAAACAATCTGCTTCCATGTCACCACTTCTGAACCAGAATTTTCAGTATAAAATAAGACCAAAAACCTTTCTGTTTTTGTGATTTAAGCAACACTGTTATGTGGGACACCAGTGGCTGGTTATATCTTTTGGTGGCAGTCCTATGTCCTACACCTAGAGATGTACAGGAACAGGAATATCAGGAGACCATGTTTTGCATCTTATTTGAATCTTTCATGCTGTGTGCTGCTTTGTTGTCCCTTTAATTCATTTCGTTGCGCTCTCTTTTCATCTTTGCTTCCACTTATTGGATAAGTGTAACAACAGTCCTTGTTAACATTTAGGAAAAGAATGTGATTTGTGTTAAAAGACACACTTCACAACAGAAACCCTGCACATCAAAAAGTGAAGTCTGCCTGTTGTGTTTAAATGTGATGCAAAGAGGTCTCATGAAAACAGGCTGCAAAAAGACAACTCATACATTGGTGAGTCAGACTTTAAACCTTCACTTACAGTAAGAGGTTTTCCATCTGAGTGACCACATGCAACATTAATCATGTGATTATTGATTAGTTCTACGATTCAGATTATAGATTGTTATCATGTGGTCTTTTGGCTTGATCACGCAGTAGATTCAGCAGGCACAATACTTCCCAAGTCAGGTTTCACAGTTGATTTGATGCTGGGCTTGCATGGGAAGTGGTTGAAAAAGCAAATTCACTAGTTTAATTCAATAATTTACAGACACTCCCAAGCATCAAGCACCCCACAGCTATAGGAGGATAGCTTAAGTTATCATTTATACAGTAAAAGCGCATTACTAATGGACACATATTGCACATAACACTGCACAGAAATTGACCGATGATAGCACTTTTTTAATTCAATAACATTAACAGTCCCATGAGTCTTTGCTTTCTCTGACACAAAACTGTCCAGAATCCCAAGTGACTGCCCCTCTCAGCTTGATACAGTACAGAGGGTCGACTCATACAGGACAATTAAAACACTGCTGCGGTTTTAAATCTGTGCTTTATTGTTTCTGCGTCATTAGTTACTATGACATCCATCTCAAGTCAAAGCAAGCCATTCTTAGGGACATTTTGTGTGATGATTACTCATTTTAAGCTTTCAGTGTTTCCACATTGTTGAAACGTGATCACTGAGCATGTATATATATGTAGTGACAGTGGCTTGTGCTATAAACCATGTGCTTTTCAAACATTAGTGTAGCAGTTCAGGAATTTGATTCACTAGTTTTCATTTCTGATTTCTGGTTTCTCCATATCTCAAATGACTGTAGGCTGTGAGGCTTTTCATAGTTTGACTTCCTTTTTTCAGAGATTGCAGCTCTATACTATTATCTCTTTTCCTCCAAGTCAAAATGCCAACCTGGTCATCTTGAAATACATTTTCAAACTTTTTATTTTAGTCTGCTTGAACAATGGAACAAAATGTAAAGTGGTGTCGATCTTTCAAAAGTTATGTTGTTAAATTTGTCTAAATCTCAGTGATCTTAATACATTAAGTCCAGATGTGGTTTGCAAATAAAACCAGTGAGTGTACAAGTCATTCAGTCTTCAGGTTGGTTCCTTGTAGATTATATTATAATGAATCCAGCAGAGAAGAAAAGCAAACAAAGATAATGCAAGGGCAGCTTCAGAAATCATTGACAGAGTTCATGTTGTTGCATTTGAACTTGCTCAGAGGTTCACAGGAGAGTGAAACAGTGGCACTATATGACTACATTAGATGTGCTAGCAACACAGAGGGAAGTCTGCAGGCTGTATTACAGTAAATAGTTGAGATGCTTCAATTCGCACCTGCTGCATGCTTTGTACAGTTGTGTTCAGTTTAAAGAGCCCAAAAAACTAGAAGATGCTTGAAGATCATGTTGCAGAGGAAGACGTTATTTGTTTTATGCATACACTTTTAAATATATAATGTATGTAGATCTGAATCACTCAGTATTAGATCATCCCCACCAGAAGAAAATAAAGAAAGAAAAGGGCTTCAGTTTGTAGATCCATTAGTGTGCGGTAGCAGAAGTGAGCCTGATGTCCAGCTTCCCCATCATTTGAATATTATTGAAATGAGCCTTTGAAGTGGCTAATTACTGGACATTCTGTAAGCCTTCTGAATTCACTTTCTGTACTGGGTGTCTAGCAGGGGGCTCCCAGGGGGGGTTGCTGGTGTTATGGGTGAGAGGTGAAGCGGGTTTGGAAACCGGAGAGTTTTAGAGGAGGGTGCAGCGAACAGCCGGCATGCAATACGTGAGAGGCCCCATGTTTTTACTATCAGTAGCATCAGATGGGAAAGAGGAAGGGGGGGTGGAGGTAGCTGCGTGCAGTTATGAAAACTGCAGTGTGTTGAAACAGAGCGACTGCAAGACTGCATAACCTACGAACCCACAATCACGCACAGTCACACACTGACACTCTCTTTTCCTCCTTTTTTCACAGTTGTGCACACAAAACGCAGCAAAAGAAAGGTCAGAGGGGTTCGAAGCTGAACACCCGGAACAAATGGACTTCGCTGAGCTTTGACGCCAAACAAACCCAAACCCTCCTCCACCGCACACACACACACACACACACACACACACACACACACACACACACACACACACATTAAAGGCTCTTTTGACAAAACTTAGTCGATCTAAAACCAGTCCAAATTGTGAAATGTTGTGCTGACACCTGCACCGCTTCATACCTACCCGGCTGCCCAAACTGCACAAACCACGTGCTTTTGCAAATATTTACACTACGACATAGCCTGTTGTATTCTCTCTGTGTCGCACACAAACACACTTGTGCAGACTTGACACACAAAAACGGCACAAAGTGTATCCAAAAACACCAACCAGCCCAACTGGCTTAGATCTTGTAGAACCTGGTAGACCAGACACTTGAGTCTGGGAGCCCTTTAAACGAGACAAGCCTGTGCAGTTTTGTTTGTGAGAGTGCTCTTTAACCCTGACACTGGAGGGAGGAGACAGAATATGTGAGGATAGTAGAGGTGGCGGCGGCGGTGGCGAGAGCCTGTGAGTAGACAGCTGAACCTAAATCCAACACCAACTCATCCTCCCTCTTATCCTCCTCCCTCTTCTCCCACCCCCTCCCCTTCCCCTTTTTGCTGTCGTGCCGAACATGAAGCAGAGACCCTGACAATATGAAGCTGGCTGAGAGCCTCTAGGACACAGCAAACGCGTACTTACGTCGTCCTAGACGTCCAGACGGGGCTGCCGGTCGAAGAGTGGGGAGCAGAAGAGGAAACAGAGAGTAGCATGAGAATTGCTCGCCGGTGCAGCAGCAGTCCACGAGCGATCTGGCCTTGTTGGGGGGTTGTATTCCTCGTTTTTTGTTTTTTTTTCTATTTCTCCCAGCCCGGGCGGCGCGCAGACAGAGCGAGCGGTGACACACACATAAATGCACTCACACACGGCCAGCCGCACGCACAGCGCACACCTCCCCCCAGCACACCGCACACGTTTCTCATTCTCTTGCCTATTCTTATGACCAGCGCTTTCTGTTCTCTGCTTTTTCCTTTCTCATTATCTCTGTCTGCTCCTCCCTTCCCTTTTTCAATATCCTCTTTCTTTCTCTTCACTACAGATGCAGTCGGCTTCTCCTCGCAGCCCCCACCTTCACCTCCCCTCCTCCTCCTCCCCTCTCTCTTTCCCTCCCTCCATTGCCCTCCCTCTCGCGCAGCCTCTCCCTCCATCTCCTCTCCCCTCTCTCTCTCTTGTGCTTTTCAGTGTGTGTTTAGAGCGAGAGGCCATTATCTAAGCCACAGCGGGCACGTACGAATGGAATGGAGGAGTGCGCAGTGAGCAGAAACACAGAGAGCGGTGGGGGGATAGTTGCTAGCAGCAGCAGCAGCAGCCTTGGAAACAGCACAGTGCAGCAGAGCTCCTTACCAGTGAGAAAACCCCTCTCGGTCTCTATCCACACCCATTCCACATTATGTGCTCTGCTGCATTAGATTATGTTATATATAAGGCTCTATCTCTGTCTGTGTGTGTGTTTTGTTTATCGCCATAAGCCCCATACTGGCAATTCTGAGTGTGACAGAGCTACTCTGCTTTCGACCGCAGAGGCAAACCAGCGGCTTGCAAACGAAAACGCAATCTCATCGCGCAATGGCATCAACACAGGGAAAAAAAGAAAGAGAGAAAAGGGAGCAGAGAAAAGGATCATTACACTCCTTGTTTATGCCTTTTGTAAACGACATCCGTTTTTTTTCCTCGCGGACATTTTTGCTCCATCTAGATTGGGCTCCACCGCGGGCCGAAGGAGAAACCACCGATGATGGTTGTTCCATCTCCATTTTCATTCCTGTCCGCATTCACATCGCTTCCCTGTTCCTCGTGTGACAGGAAAAGCTTCAGACCTACACCTGTGACTGATAACAGATCCTCTAGGATGCTCTCGCAAGAGAGGGAGAGGATTGCTGGCGCTGTTGCCGGCCCTTTAATCCAAGATCCAAAGGACGCAAACGCAAAGTAGAAGGCTTCCGACTGCAGGAAGCTCAGGGTCACTTGGTTTAAAAGAAATCACCAACACTCTATGATGTCAACTCACTCCTGCAGATGTCGGGAAGCAAACGAAAGAAGACCTATATGCTCAGGAGTAAAGCAGCAAGGCGGCTGAATTGGGCAATGGAGAGTGAGAGGGGCACGACTCTTCAACATCGGTGAGCAAGAGGAACAGAGTGGAGATAGGAAGAGGGAAATCTGTGGAGTACACTGTTGAAACGTGCAGAGTTGATCAGCTGTTCGTGTGATACTGATTCTGTAACCAGAGGTACGAGAGTGGCACAAACAGAAAAAGGGTCAGGAGGTTGCTGCCGAATGAAGACCGCGAGGAGCCGACTAATCACAGTTCATCGATGGCTTCTGTCCTACCCGTCCGCCAGCGTGTGACAACGTTCTCCCATTCCTCACCATTGTCGCCTTTCCTTGCTGTCACTGGCATTATCATTATGAACGCCGTCATCGCCTCTGGGTGACCGGCTCTGCGGTCCTCTCTTCGCTCCTACATTGCTGGAGTTTTGGAGAAGATTTAACCAGGAAGAGGAGGAGGAGGTTGGGTATTATGGCCGTCTCCCTCATGCAGATCGCTGTCAGCTCCTGCGTAGTGTTTTTCTCTTATATTACTGAGCATGTGTGAGCTACACTGCACTGTGGCTGGATTAACTTCTGTAGCCCTTCCCTGCTTCACTTCCTTTGGCTTTCCCTGTCTCTCCTGGTCTCTCATTTTCTCTGGCATCTTCAATCTGCCTTTGCCTGTCTCTCTCTCTCTCTCTTTCTCAATTCGTCTCTACTGTCTTGTTTCCCGAGCTTTTTGCCTCCATCCAGCATAGCTTATTGCATTACCGTTCCAACACTTTTCTCACGCGCTCGCTCTCTGGCGCTATAAAATTGCACACACTGTCTGTCTCGTTGTTGCCGCACAATTTCATATGTACACACACAGATGAGCGTCAATCCCAAAGAGAAACACAGCCCGAGCCGTCTAAAAAGGAAGGGGAAGGAGAAGTAGAGCATTAAGGTCACGTGACCAGGGAGGGCCAATGAGTGGGAAGGGAGAGTATAGTGAGCGAGAGAGGTAGGAAACACATGTGGCGGTGACGTAGCTGTACCGTCACCGTCATCGTCATCAGTGTCTCCCACCAGGACGCTTGCCTCCACCACTGGGTGGGCGCGTGTCATCCCGAGCACATGCCCACCATCACCAAAACCACACCAAAAAAACTGAAGCTCAGAAAGCACGCTCTTTTTATTCACCCGGCTGGCTGGTGTTCACTCGCTCACTCCCCCGACTGTAGTGACACAGCGTTTCTCGCTCAGCATTTGGCTTAACCCCTGAATCTGTTCTTTACGAACACTTCCTCATTTTAGACATCTCCTGAACACAACAGGCTCCTTAAACAGTCCCATCTTATGTGAAGTTAGCACTTCCATAGTTTATATCCAAAATTTGGAGAGCGAGGCAAAGAGGATGAAAGAGAACTTAATAAACATGAACTCTGCCTGACTCTGTCACTGTCCACAGCTGAGTAAAACAAAGAAACGCTGTTTGACCAAAACACCAACATGAGGGAAGGGATTCAGCTGTTTCCGACACATGATGTGCCCACACTGTAAATACAGCATGTAAGCTGACACAGTTTGCTCCATGTCAGAAGGCACGAGTGATTTACAGTAAGAGTGCTCTTGATTCAAGCACATGTCTTCTTTGATGACTCATATCAGCTTACATCGGTGTCATTTCACATAAGACATTGCTCAAAATTTCTTCACCACCATCGGACTGGCCATCTCTGACAAAAGGAATAGAAATCTACCGAAGCGAAGCAGCAATGGCAGAAAAGCGCGTTGTTGCTTTAAGATGCTGGCGTGCGATTCGTGGATTCCAATGCTGCCATTCAGGTTTGTTCAACAGAGCTGGTGTGAAGTCACCTCGTGAGCACAACTGTAGCGCGGTGAAAGAGAACATTAGAAGTGCAGGGCAGTCGTGCCTTTAGCGAACTTTTGAGTCATCGAGGTTACCTGATATTTGAAATGACAACAACAATCCACGCAGCTTGACATTTAAGTGAAAATGAAATCGCACTTACGGTAAACCTGTAATTCGGCATTGAGAGACACACAGGAGAGGTAACAAAGACTCCTCATCGATCACTTCATTTCACGGTGTAGTCACATTTATCATCCAAGATGAGTTACTGCACGCCCTCATCTCTCTCCCCCTCTTAATTCTCAGGCTCTCGCTCTTTTTCTCAGCAGCACGGAGGAAAGGTCTAGGTTGTAGGAGGGATGACTGACAACAAAAGTCCATCCGCAGCAGTGTGTGTGCTCGCTTATGAGTAAAGCTTGAGTCATCCTCTTCTTTTCAACGAAGTCCTGACACAGAACCCTCAAACAGTGAAACGAGCTTTTCAATTTGCTTTTTTTTTTTGTCAGCACCTCGCTAGTGGGAGGTGTACGTGAATGAAGCATACCGACAGAGAACAAAATGTTTGCTTTTCAGGCAGTCCGGGAGTTGAATTCTTGCGATTTCACTGTTAAACGTGCTTTAAAAAAACATTTGTTTCCAGCAGTGACCAAACTCACAGGAGCATGACACAAGGGTCCTTTGCCTCTCCTAACATCACTTCCTGTCAGCTGATTCCATTTCCTCTATCCACCTCTGTGCGCCCCCATCCCCAGCACACATTGTCCCGCATTCTAATGGCATCAAGGTCATCGGATCTGACACACTGTGTGCACCCCCTCCTTCCCTTTCTCTTTTTTTTTTGCTCCACATCTCTTTATCTTTCACTTCCTGCCCCCCCTCCAAACTGCTCACATGCACGCAGACGCTCCAGTGCATGCACACCAACTGTCAACAAATGCAGAGGCATGCTTTAATGAGCTCTCTCCACTCTCTCCACACACACACACAGAGTACACACTAGTATGCACACAGTCCACTGAGGGTCACTGGGTTTATTGGTGGGGAGGGGCCAGAGACCATAGGGCACATTATATTTAGCACCAAGGTCGTAATCATAACATATTTTGGAGGGGAGACTTTTAAATGTGTTCTGTATCCTTTCTATCTAGAGACAGAGAACAGATACAGCAACATATGGAGAATTTATGTGAACTTTTATTTGCATAATAAGTCCTGTATGTATATTCTAATGCTTCTCTTATGATTCAGAACACTAAACTATTTTCCGTATAGTTTAGTCATTTTTTACAATACAATCTACAAAATGCGTGTGTGCGTGTGTGTGTGTGTGTGTGTGTGTGTGTGCGTGTGTGTACGTGAGTGTGTGGGTTTAGGTTTTTTTTTAGTCATAACTGGTTTTCTGAAAAACACATAAAAACAGTAATGAGAAAACTGCCTGTTTGAGTAAGTGTAACTGCATCTGTAACTGTAACTTGAGCAACAAGACTCTTTACCTATTGTTCATTTTCAGGCATCACCTAATTTCATCTGTGCACCTGTCTGTTTGGCCGTTTTTCTCTCTTTGTTTCAGCTTGGTGTCCAAACACACTCGTGCCAAACCCCCACTCAGCCAGGACGGTGTTAAGTTCAGGGTATGTTTAGGTGTAGATTGCACCACAGCGTAGTGTATATCAAGTCTGAGTCATACCTCCTGACATTTGGCACGTGCAAGTCAGCACGGATTGCCCAGCTGGGGGAAGGCCTACCCGCCTATCCCCCGTCAAACCCCACCCCTCGCTATTCCTCACAAAGAGAAATGGAGGAGTGGCTTGCGAAGGAGGAGAGGAGGAAAAAAATGGGAAAGGTGGTGCCGGGTAAGAGGCTGTTAAGCAGGGTGGAGCCACAAAAAGAAGAGGAAGGGGAAGGGGGGGCTGTTTTTAAGAGACAGCTCTTTGTGCTTCAGGATTTGAACAACAGCAGGATCAATGAGCAGAACAGAATGTTTTATCAGAAAGTTTTTGGACCTGAGACAAACAGGGTGAAGGGAAATGAATGAAAAACAAGTGAGTTCAGAACGGTTTGAACCTGTGAAAGAACACTGCGTGCCGCTACCTGCTCGCCTTTTGTATGCCAAGTGCTGAAAAAGAGCTGAGTGGTCAGATTTGTTTGGACAGTGATGTAATCATTAACAGAACGCAGCAGTAAAGATGGGCAGAGTGTGTTCTGACAGGTGAAACACTGACTGAGAGGCTTGGTAATGACTTTTGGGTTGCAATATTAATTTTTAAGACTCGAGAGCGAGAAAGACATAAAGCAACAGAAACCTGCCTCAGCCCCTGCACGGTGGCTGGTTGCCAGCCTTGTCTCTCTCTCAGGACTCGGGCTAAGATTAGCTTCCCATATGTTCAAGTCAGGCGTAGCCAGACTTAAAGGGCCAGTGCTCGACCGTGGCAAAACAAGAAAGCCTTCACTGTGTTTGCTGATGGTCTACATCAACACACATGTGAAGGTTCAGCGTGCATTTTTAATCATTCCAGTGAAAGCTGGGCTCATAACAGATAACTACTGGAAACTGATAAGATGCGGTGCTTTTCTTGTATGCTTCCAGTTATAGACTTTGTTCTTTAATATCGTCCTTTTTCGTGTGTGTGTTTTGATACTATGGCATGAAAACTCCCACAGCTGTTGGGCTGTATTACATAAAACCTGGCAGCGTCTGGCAGCAGTGGGATTCAGGATTGTTTAAACTGGATGCCCAGTGGGAGCAGCAGAGCAGCCGCCAGAGAGGCGAGAGTTCGAGCTCAAGCAACAGCTGATGACTCCTCCCCTTCTCCCTCCATTCATTTTTTATTAACTGCGGCACGGTGCGGCTGACGACCTCGCTCTAACATCAGACACCACCAACGATGCCACCGACCGCAACTCATCGCGCTCGCAGGATACCAAACCAGGCCCCCGCCAGGTTTGGTCACTAGTAACAGAAACCCAAAGCAGCCCAGTGAGGCAGTGCCGAAAGAAATGTCTGCTAATTGTCATTAATTAGAAATGAAACATGACAATAGTTCAGGGTTTTGCAAGTCCTTAATGACTGCATACAAGTGAGGCAATTATTGGTGACTGTATAAATTAAAATGTCACATCAAATTCCACAAGGACCTATGAGATGTGATGTTTTGAAATCCTGGGAGTGCTTTTTCTTTTACGATCTCGGCGAACATTTACTTTTCAACCAGTGCATCTAAAGTAGAGCAGGGCGATATGACCAAAAATATTTATCACGATATACATTTGAAAATTTGCGATAACGATATAACTGACGATATAATTGACACTAGACAAAACACTTTAAAACTCCACAACTTTATTAGTGCAAAAAAAAAAAAAACAAAAAAAACCATCAATGATTTTCACTTAAACAAGCAGCTGTTTTTTATGTGCATTAGAATTATATAAAATTTAACAGTGCAAATGCAAATTTCTTGCTGACAGTTTAACCAAAAGGCATTTCCAGTGGAAACTGGCTGACATATCCTCAGCATAACCATGTATAATATCCACAAAACTTAAAAAGAGGTTATACACACACAATACGGTAATATTATGTTGAAGCACAGTACATATCACTCCGCGAGGCGCCTGCCTACGATAGCCGTAATGATCCGACAATCCATCAAGCGGTGCAGCTTCGCAGCTTAGCAAAGTCGCACTAAAACATTTGACAGATTTTCGAGCGCCGTGTCCCACATAAAATAGTTTCGAGGTCAGTAAACACAACCAGAATTCATACATAAGGCACACGGGATTATAAGGCACACTGTCGATTTTCAGAAAAATCGAAGGATTGATTTTAAGTGTGCCGTATTTTCCACAAACACGGTAATAACGACGGCCCGCTAGCATGCGCTACCAAAAATAGTGCTTTGTTGTGTATCTGACGGACGAAAGCTAAACCAGTTCCACACCACTGAAGTTGCAGCATTTTCACAAACCAATTCTGGTTCATCTGTTTCATTCAACGGTCCGCTTTCTCCCTTCTCATTCTCCGTCGCCGCCATGCTTTTTCCACCATGAAAACAAAGGCACTGCACATGCACGTTTTACCCATATTCTATTACGATATTTCATTTTCTTATTGTTGCCCAACATTATACCGTATTACCGTGAACGGTATGATATGGTCCAGCCCTAATCTAAAGTGACTTCTGAAGCAGCCTGTCCTCAGTGTAAGACCAGAGGTGTGTCAAGTGATTACACTGGGTAATTATTTATCTGTCTTTTTGTAGACAGTCTATGTGCTGCACAGTGCTATGTGTCCAGCTTGTTTTGATGAAAACTTGCTTCAAGCTCGCTGTCTAATTCAGAACATTCAGAAAGAGGTTTTACTCATGAGGTATCCATCTCAAAAGTTCCCTAAAACTGAGGTTGTTAAAAGTTTAACAGTCAATATTTGGTATGGCCATCTTTATTCTTTCTTGCTTCTAGCTTTCTTACCATTTCTATAAGTAGTCTTCAGGAATAGTTCTCCAGGTTTCTTGAATGACATTCACATCACTTTTATGGATGTTTCTACTTTTTGTGTTCTACTTCCATTATGTGTCTTTCTATCCAGGTATGCTTTTACTGCATTGGCAGTGTGTTTGGGATCATTGTAATTGTCTGCAGAGAGTATTGCATGGTGGATTAAAAATAAAACGTACTTTTCTGTGTTCATATTATGATCAATTTTGACAAGATCCCTAACACTGCTGACTGAAATGCAGCCTCAAACCATGACAGAGCCTCTAACGTGTTTTACAGATAAAGTAGACGCTCACTGCTGTACCTTTCTCCTGACCTCCTGTATCCATATTGACGGTGTGGAAAAGTTGGATTTATTATTTTACAAGATATTTCAGGACTAGATGCATCTCTCAGGTCTTGTGTCAGGTCTTTGCTGGATTTTTTTCCTTGCCTTTGGCTGATGGCTCTTGGGAATCTGCTATTGGTACAAAAATACTATTTTTTTTCTGTCAAACTGTGCTATCCTAGACATTTTTTATAGATTCAACTGACAAAATGTGAACAAATTGGGTCATATTGTGACAGGCTGCTTGTAACAAACCGCCTACAAACAATTTAAAATTTGCTCTTTCTAACTAGATATAATACTGGTTCAACCTTTTTTATGCTGAAAAAATAAGTGAAAAAGCAGCCTCTGTCCAAACAAACCCTTTCTGAAATTCTGGAGAACTATTGCATTTTTAAAGACCGCTTTAAAAAAAAAAATACTACAAAGTCTGGCAAAACACAAAGAAAGAAGGAGTGGCTTGTTTTACAATAACGTGCATTTGATTGCAGAAGCTATGTTATTATTAACCCATTTGGTAGTTTTGTTTAAATAGTCTTTACTTCCCATAATACAGTTTGTATTTTCAGGAAGTAAAGATGCATCTTTCATTTCTTGGAAAAAAAAACTAATATTGTTACATAACATAACAAATGCCCAAAATAAAGCATCAATAAGAAAGATCTGTTCAAAGTAGGCCAGTCTACCAACTACGGGAATTCTTCACAGTCACAGTTTACACAAATTTGAATAAACCATTAGCTGCACTTCTTTACTGACTGAGTGGAAACCTCTCAGAACAGTAAATACATCGAAAGCTAACACTGAATGGAAGAGGTGATGTCAAACCCTCCACTTCCTGAGTTTGTACTATACACCAAACCACTTACTACACAAACACACACACAATACGCACATGTGGTGCCGGCTAGCTGGTCACGTGACCAACCTTGGACGCCGAACGCCAGCTAAAATTAAAGCAATGATGTCATCAGACATTCAGTGTTGCCACGGAAACTAGGTCAGTATTAACCCTTTGCCGATGAGGCCGGGGATTCCAAAGCTCGACGAGTGATTAATAAACATTCCATGTGCCATCACGTACACAGCAGCGTCAGGGTTTCTACTCTGTCTCTGACTCGTTTCCCACCTGTGTGAAGTTCACCTCGTGCATAAAGAGGAAATCCTGTGCATAGGCGTGGAAAAAAAAAAAGAAAAAGAAAAGAAAGAAATCACACGAGCGCAGTCTGTCTGTCTGTAACCCACT